TACAGGTCTGTGATATCAATAATACACAATACTAATAGACAGCATACAGGAAAGAACAATCCCCTATTCCCTACAACCAGGAATAAGCTAGATACTTTCTGTTATTTGAAACAGAGGACTGGTTTTCCACATACTGTACAAGGCAATTGTATTTCTTTTTGGGTTAAGAGTTCCCACACAAAAAAAAAGAGTTCCCAAAATTAACATAATAGAGTTAGTGAAGCCTCAGGGCCTAGTTCTCTTGAAAACCAATTTTCAAACATTTAGGACTGATGAACTTGAGGCAATGAGACAACAATAATCTCCTCAACCTCCAACCTTAAAGAGTTAGAAAAAGTAACTTGCAGTGCAAAAAATAATTAATAAAAGTGTGCTTCTCAGATATGTTTCCATTCATTCACAAATTGCTAAGATATACAAGTGTCTTGAAAACTCACATGTCTTTTCATGAGTACAGGCAATACACGATTTATATAACATCTGTCACTGCACTTTCTAGGAACACGCATTCTATGTGGTGTCCATATCTGCCCTCTTCTAAGCGGAAGATCTTTTATAATTGTAACATCTGTTGTTAGATGTTTTATAAACCAATCAACATCAAATATATCAGAGAAGTCACTGCAACAGAAAAGGAGATCATTTCACTTTCACAGTTACAAGCAGGATTATTAGTATTTTAAATGTACCTACACAATAATAAGTTGAGTGATGGTTGGAGAAACCAATATGCAAGAAAATACTAAATCATTCTTCTGATACTACTCACTCACCTAGAATCTTTCCAGAAAGACGTCTTGTCCAACTTTGGAACAACAAGAGTGGCATTTAAAATGCGAGCAGCAACAACAGCATCAGTTATCTGCCATAAAGATGGACCAGCTTACACCGTTAACTATAGAAGGTTCCACGCTTCACAGTCTTATATTTTGGTTCCAGCAGAAAGCTAAAGTACACGGGTGGTAACAGAAAGGAGTGCCAACTCAAAGGGCCATACATTAGAAAAAAATAGATGGAATTATCAGAATCATGTTACGTATAGAGGAGTATTTGACAACCTATAGTTAGCATGGGCTGGTAATTTTTAAGTGTATCTTCTGTAGCCAATTTACTTAAAAGTGCAAATAAGTATAGCGCAATCATCAAATCCCAGAGCATGATTATGCAGACAGATTGGCTATCACCAGATATGATTTTGTACTGGGGATTTATAATCATTACTTCTCTGTCCAATCAAATTAGGTGCATCTTGAGGTTCTAATGAATCAATGATCAATCAACAACTATAACTCAGTCCAAAATTAGTTGCACTCATTTACATATCAAGAATATCTTGCAATAGTCAAAAATAAAAATCAACAACATTGATATGACAGAAAGTCACAAACTGAACATAAAATTCTGCAGCACTTGAACAACCATAAGATGTTATATCCAACCAGTTGCATAAAGCTTCTCCACTTACTGGTATAGAGAACCTCCTAATTAATGGGCATTGTGGCGTTGTTCACTGTGAAATCTAATGCCTTGATTGTCAGTGCATGTGCTTACAAAAATACCGACAACTGTCTCAATACCAAACTAGTTGAGTTAGCTAAAACAGTCTTTTATATCCATCCAGCTTCATTTGGACCTCTTTATTACAATACACAGTAATTTGTCTTTTAGAACATTAAGGGTGCCGATTTTTCAATCCATGTTCCGATGTAGCCGTATCTAGAAAAGCACATCCCAAGACATTTTAATGATGATATTCCTCATAAATAGACTAGCTTTAACAATTGTGAACCTAAAGCAACCTGATACCTTTATTCGGGCTTGCTTGTGCATTAACTATCTAAAAATAGAAAAGACAAGGTCATCTGAACTACCCTATAAAATACAACAATCACTGAATCAACTACCTTATTTGTCTTTAAGTGTTGGAAAAAAACAGTTTCTCGACCAGAATCTCATTTCTAGTTAGTCAACAAATTAAAACAGAATCCATATTCAATTCTAAAAAACCAAGCTGGTAATATTTTCTTACCCCAGTTCTTTGTTGGTTAAGACCTCCACTTGTGACAATTAACAAGTATCGATTCGGATGTGTGATCGTTTTGGCTTCTGCAATTTGAAACAGTACAAATACGCAATCAGATTTCAATGATCAAATTCAACCTGATTAATAACTCCACTACTGCTGCATAAACATACTAAAAAAAACTGATTACTTCTATTTTTTTCAAATACAAATGCTATAAAAGAAGCTGAGCTATTGAGCTCATTTTCGAGTTTACGCACTTGCAAATTTACTGCTGGCATTACTGCATCCATAGAAAAACTTTGAATTTTTCGAACTCCAGAGATCACGATTATGAACTTCTGCATTGATCTAGAACTCAACAATCAACCACACCACATTTAGCAACCTTAGATCCAAACCAAATCAAATCACAAATGAAATCAATAAGATTCAGATTAAATCCCAACCTTAACACGAGATAAACTCACTCTATTCTCATTACTACGGCTTTTCCCTTCCTACACAAGTCACAAATTATATAATCAAATTAACACTTTATCATATATTAATCAATTAATTAATACTTCACAATTAAATTAAACATTTTAGCATTTTTTTCGTCAGCGTGATTGATTAATTTAATGTACCGATGAATCATCACGACGGAGATGGCGGAGGTGATTATCATCATTAGGAGACGGAGCGAGGATTGATAGGAAGAGGAATAAGAAGAGGATAATGGCGGAAACAGCAAAAATTGCCGGGAACAGAAACCGCACACGGCTGTGATGATGCTGGTGGCGCCGCCGTGGAATAGCCATACGGCGGCGATGATTGGTGGTCGGAAGCGTGTTTGCTGATTTTTGACGACTCCTCCGGTGGTGTCGCGGAGGACAGGGTTTAGGGGTATTATTGGAAATACAGATTTGTTAGAGAAGATTTTGGGGTTTTAGGCCCCATAACGACAACGATTTGCATCGAAGGAAACTTTTTTTCTGTTTTTAGCTTTTGGAAAGAGCAAAAAATTTTGTTCCGATCTCGTTTGGTGTTCGATATTTATATTAAATTTCGAATTGATAAATAATTTGAAGCATCGAGTAATGTTAAAGTGAGGGACTTGTTATGCAATTTTTTTGTATTTATCTCCCTTTCTCGACGAACAGATCTTATTCATCTCACTGTGATTTCCAGATGACACAGATCAATTATTTACCATACAAATAATAATAAATTATTGGAAATGATAGAAATTTGAATTAATGATTAATCGAATTCACATTGTTTATTATTAAAATGACTCATTTTTTTTTAAAAAAAATTAAATATACACCCGAACTATAATAAATGAAAAGCACATATTTTTCATCGTACTTTAGGGACATTGGTACCCGTGTCGTCCAAAAACTAGAATGTATATGCCCTTGACAAAATAGGGTCACGTGGTCAATCTTATCCATCGATCCGATGTCGGGTCAGTGGATAAGATTATGACACATGTATGTCCGTTAGTATAAAAAGTATGTATGCTCTAGTTTTGGACGACAGGGGCACCAGGGTATCTGCATATCATTTACGATAGTTTGGAATTATATTCCCTAAGAAAATAATTCACATTTACTTTTCTAAATGAAAGAAAATATTATTCATAACATCATCATTGAACTTCGAATAACAAATCAATTATTTACCACACAATTTATAAGAAATATTGATAATAATTAAATTTTGAAATAATGATTAATTTGAATTTTTATTGTGTAATGTTAAGTAAAGGATCGATTATAAGAATTTTTTCATATTTATATTCTAGACGAAGAAATCCTATCCATTTCACCATCATCTACGGAGGACCGATCAATTATTTACTTCACAAGTTTGTAATAAATTATTGAAAATGACAAAAGAAGAAATATTAGTTTAAAGTAAATTAATATATTAGGAGTAATTAAAGAAAAGGGAAGAAACAGAAATAAAGCAAAAAGGAGAGTGTGTTTGTGATTTAGATCTTTGAATGGTTGGTTACTTGAGAATTAGGTAAGATTTAGTGTTGAAAAAAATATTTGACTAGAAAAGTATGTTTAACTTGACTCTTAAATGTATATTTTTTTAATAATCATGATATTCGCGACTAATTTTATAAAGTAATTATTCCCTATCATCAATAACGATACATAATCTTGTCCTGTAAAGCTAGGATTGATAGAAGACTCACGTAATGTCTTTGTATTAACATGTCATATACCATCAAGGGATGTGCGGAGAAGGTCTTGTATTCGAATAGTATGAATGAAGAATTTCTCGATAGAAAGCTTTGTTTTCCTATAATGAGCTTATTTGATGTGAATCAGATAAATCGAACTAGTAAATTTCGAATATAAAAGTGTAATAGGAAGTAATTTGTTATTTGTAGATTGGATCTATGATTAAATTATTGAAAGCTCATCTACTATAGTTTTCCCACTTGAACTAATTTTCTTATAAATTTAATTGCAATTTGTAGATTGGAATTGTGATTAAACTAATACTATATCCACTACTTTGAAGTAATTTTCTAACAAATTCAGGATCTTTATTCATTATGCATTTATGAACTCCACGGAACTTTATCAATTTCACTATTTCTACTAGTATATATATTCTACCTTTTTCATAGCAACTAGCTCTCGAGGTTTCATGTGATTGTAGGCATTATTTTCTCGACCACATGTTACATTCAACGATATGTTGCTTTCAGGAACGGAATATTATATCAATCACACAATTCACTATTTCTACTAGTATTTATGTTGAACCTTTTTCGTAGCAACTAACTCTCGTCGTTTCATGTGATTGAAGGCACTATTATCTCGATCATATATGACATTCACCGATATGTTGCACATCTAACCAAGGAGCACCATGTTAGCTCTAAAGCCATTTTGAAGCTCAAAGAACTCTGTCATTACTACCTAACATATTGTCACATAAACCAAAGAGAAGCACAGCAATGGAAGAGTTTAGATTTGCAAAATAGTACCAACAATTGGTAAAAAAGTACTTAAATCTTGCTACATTGAGCAATGTAACCACACGAAAAATAACAATATACTCATCGTCATGTCTACTGAATGCGGGAATCTAATCCCACAGGCCAGAAGGGCAACTTAAATTGCTCTATAAGTCTACAACGTTTCGTTAAGCAGATGCAAGTAAACATCATGTGCTAAAAAAAGCTTGCCTCTAAAAGAAAAGAAGCCGGTGGGAACATCTTTGCAACGAAGCCATATTTAGAGATGCTATACTTTCTGTGTACAGCATTAAGCCTCCCAGTTGCAGCCTTCTGATGGAAAGTAACCATCAGTTTTGAACATTCCCTGTTATATATACAAAAAACAACACACTCAGAGGGGGTTGCTTCTACGTGCATTCGGTAAGAATAAACCATCTTTGCAAACGAAGAAAAGTAAATGTAGATGGATAAGATACTTACAAAAGCTGATCTCGAGTATACTTGCTATACTTCTCGCAAGTTTTAGTCCACTCCTTAGCCACACCTAGTGTACATTGAGCGGTAAATATCGCTGCAGCTGCTAGCATTGAAGGTGGGAACCTAAGTGTTTCGTACTCAACAAGGCATAGCTCGGTCATGAAAAATGACAGAAGCTCCACCTGATTCAAGAATATCCGAAAATTTGTCAGTACTTAGTCATGATTCACAAATCTTGTCGTTTCTCTAAGATAATTTAGTACTAGTAAGTTTATGATAACCTTCTTATCAGACTGAGCAGCTTTGAGAAATCGCTTCATAAACATATACGGCGTAGGCACTGATAGTTTGAACTGTAAGGTATTGATCATCAACTTCTCCTGCAGAACGTACTCGATCAAAGTCATATGGCAGGCTAGGAGAACTATGGCAAAATGAAATTTTAATTACCATTTCAAGCACTTCCATCCCGGTGTAAGCCTTGTCGGAGATCAAAATTAAATCCTGGACGACAGGAACTGAAACTTCTTCGTACTTGCAAGCGAGAAACAAAGCTGTTACCCCAACCAGCTGGAGTTCTTTCCTAACCACTGGCTGGACAGCCAAGAATCTATCGATAAGATTAACGGTCAAGTACAAAGTCTCCTCCATCAGTTCAAACTTGTAATGTACCTACACAGATTTGATTGAACATTAGTGAGACCGGAAGCCCTTCTGTTGTTTCATGGATTTCGGAGAGGCTACTACGAGTGGTTGTTTTTATACCTCAATCAGCCAGTCAATGAGAATAGCTCTCATCCTCTCATTGATATCGAATTGTTGTTCCATGTAGTTTGGAGGGGCACAAGCAGAACTCTGAAATGAAAAATAAATTTATAGAAGTGCCTCCGTTAAATGGATATCCAGAAAGCTGTACAAATTCATCTCATCCGGTTATTCTTTGGGTGTATAGAGCAAGCTACAGAGAGAACTTGAACAAGTAAAATAAGCAACGATGCTATTATTGGCACGAAAACTACTACTCGAAGGTTAACTAAAGTAGTTTCCTATTCAAAGCTTTGCATTATAAGTCCATTTTCCGCTAAAGGCAACATGAATAGCACCTGCCTATATTGTAATACGTAAAAGGAAGGACAAGTAACCAACTATGCTACTATTGGCACAAAAACAACAACAGGATACCAACGTTAGTTGGTCATTATGATCAAGAACTCACTCTCGAGAATCTTATATACCTTGCATATAATACGGGGAATCTGGTTAGCATCCATACTTAAGAATGAAAGAACAAAGTGAACGTCTAATGATCAGCTTTTTGTTTCATTTTAGATCAATCAGTTTTATATTTAAAGCCTAATCCTGTTTATGAAAATGCACAAACATACATCTAAGAATCAATCGTCTTAAATACGGTGGTCAGGTAGAGAACCTATATAAAACCTTAACAACAGCAACATATACGATGAAGTTCCACAAGTGGGGTCTGGGGAAGGTAGGATGTACGCATACAATATTTAAATACGATCTCAACATATAAGTTTAAAAAAGCTTCTACAAAAGGTGCGATCGTGTTGGAATATATTTCTCACCTCAATCTTCTTGTAGTAAGCATGAATATCATCAATGTACTCCACAGCAGCTAGTACGTTCTTTTTATCAGCACGATCTATGTCCACAATTAACGCCTTTTCTATTTCTTCCATCTCTATCTCTTCATCCTACATAATAAAAAAAAAACACAAAATAGATCGTGATCCATAAATCGTCCAGAATGAATATGTACATCGAATCAACTATACCATCCGATCAATTTCCTCCATCATTGCTTCTGTGTGTTGGACAGACATTGGCACAACATAGTCACTTGTAGCCTTGTAATCTTCAACATCGGTATTGATGGCACCTTCTAGTTCATTTCCATTAGGTGCTGTTTCGACCACTGGCTTTGTTACCTGCGGAAGATAACACCATCAACACCTCCTGACATAACTAGCATAATCCAAGATGGTACTCGTTGAAAAATGTACCTCGAGTGATGGTTGTTGACGCTTGTCAGCCACTTGTGCAGCATACTTCCTGAGGCAAGAATCCACCGTAATATTACAAGAAAAGCAGACGAAATGATAAAAGTATTTAACAGTAAGAGCTATCTGAAGTCTCAACCAAGAATCAAAGTCTGACCTCGTGACTAGTCGATGAATTGGGTTCATTTCACCATCCACATACTTGCTACAAAGAATCGGAAAGATCATCAATGGAATTGCGATAAAAAAGACATCTTGGAACTTAATACATTAAAAAGAGTTTGATCATATTTCTTACTCGGTGACTCCATTTTTCTTGCGTAGCTTACAAGGGTATTGTGGAGCTTCAACTATGTTCCCATTTATTGTGCTCAGAGCCCTTCTATTATTCCCCATTACCCCTAGTAGCGAAAAAAAACGATAAATTTTCCATCTTCATAAGTTGATTCAAATCAGATACAATAGCCTATACATGATTTTAACTATTCAAAATTCAAATCATACCTCGAAGAATCGAAGGCCTTACAACACCTTGGGAATTTTCATTTGATCCAACCATCTTGAACCTAAATAAAAAATTGAACAACAAACAACATTAGAAACCCAAACTTAATTTTCAAAAAAAGGTTCAATCTTTAAAGGGCAAAAATCAAGAATCAAGCTAAAAAAATATATCGCAGAGCACAAACCGAAAACATCAACCTGCACAAAATCAAGAACCCTTTACACTAATTCTCAAAAAGATCTAATCTTTTAGTGCAAAAATGATTCAAAAAAACAAAAAACCTGCAAAATTAAGGACCATTTATACTAAAAAGGCATCCCCGTGCACTAAGCTTTTGCTATACGCGTGCAGAGCAAGTCTACTGTACGCAGTCTTACCCTGCATTCCTACAAGAGACTGTTCCCACTGAAAGAACCATTTATACTGATTCTAAAAAAGATCTAATCTTTGAATAGAAAACCCCCAAATAATTCAAAAAAATACAAACAATGAACGTAAACCTGCAAAATCAAGAACTCTTTATACTATAACAAGAAGCCCACGGGGCTCGATCAATTATACACATTTTTATCCTGCATTTCTATAAGAGGTTGTTTCCCACAACAAGAACCCTTTATACTATCAAAAAGATCTAATCAAAACTAATCTAAATGAATCAAAAACTCAAAAATTAAATTGAAAGACCATGAACATCAACCTTCAAAGGCAGCCCCGTGCACTAAGCTAGCACGCAGGGCAGGTCTACTGTACACAGTCTTACCCTGCATTTCTACAAGAAATTGTTTCCACGGAAAGAACAATTAATACTGATTCTCAAAAAGATCTAATCTTTCAGTAGAAAACCCCCAAAAAATTCAAAAAAATACAAATGTACATAAACCTGCAAAATCAAGAACCCTTTATACTAAACAGGAAGCCTACTGAGCTCGATCAATTATACACAGTTTTATCCTGCATTTCTACAAGAGGCCTTTATCATCAAAAGGATCTAATAGAAACTAATCTAAATGAATCAAAAATCCAAAAATTAAAATCGAAAGACGGACGAACATCAACCTTCAAAAATCAAGAACCTTTGTACAGATTCTCAAAAAGATCCAATCTTTCAGTAAAATTACCCAAAATAATTCAAAAAAAAAAAATGAAAACAGAGAAACTATAAACTTAACACAATTCAACTATTTATAAAAAAAAAAAATGTCTCACTCTCTCTATTTTTTTTTATCTACATATTAATTTAGAGAGAATCTAAAGGCAAAATAATTGTGTTATTTTTTTGTTTTTTGTTTGTATTTTTTTTTTAAAATTATTTTGAAAACAACGGCTAGTATATATATAATGGCTAAAAATGAAAAGTCGTGTATTTTCCCACCTAGAACTTAGCGGTTACTCATTAAAAAAAAAAATTATTAAAGGCATTTAATGATGTAATGACTTGGTTTTTTTTTAACTTTTAAAGAAATTAGTCTAGACATCATTCCAATAAATTCGTGTATTTAATCGAATTTTAATATAGGTACAAAACATTAATGAGCGGAGCTCTCTATATTAAGTTTGATATAAACTGATTTCACTTAGACATAATACGTAAATATGTTCTTCAATTTGATCTCATTTTACATTTAAGCCCTGCAAGTTGGGATATGCATAAGTATGTATACACTTCAGTTTGTATGAAATTGAACAAGTAGACACATGAGGCGTACGTGACACAATACATGTAGGATGTCATATAATACATGTGTATCTATTTGTTAAAGTTTATACAAGTTTAAACGTTTACTTTTGTACATCCAAAAGGGCATAAATGTGATTTGAAAATAAGTCAAATGACATATGTATTATGTCTTTCGCTTAATCAGAGGTGTTGGATTTGGGTTTTCTTAGTACAAATTCATCTTCGTTAAAGAGCATTTTACTCCTTCACGAGAGACTTTCCAATGCAAATTCAGAATTAGCGAACTTCAATATGGATACAGAACATCAATGACGCAGAAATAATAGACAATTTAATTTTTATAAAGTTGAACATGTAAACACATGATTCGTATGTGAAATAATACAAATAAGATCGAAATTGTCACATAGGATACCACGTAGGGCATGCGTGTCTACTTGTTCAACTAAACGTTTAAATTTCTATTTGTGTAAATCAAAACGAGTAAACTTGGAGGGCATAAATATAAATCGATATCAATTTAAAGAGTATATTTATATGTTAACTTTTTTTTAATTTTATGATTTTAAATTAAAGACATATAACGTTTAATTTTGTGATATTCAACATGTTATAGAAAAAATTGAAATTAAAGAGTTATAAAAAAAAATTGAAATGGACTAAAAAATAAAATAAACAAATTATAATATAGGAAGAAATATTTGTTGAATCCATTGATATCAATTCACATTTTAGGCATGATATTTTTATATTTTTTTTACATTTTCTTATAAATTTTTTTTTGGATTTTCCACAGCTGTATCATTACCTTGTTTCCATATAATAAGTACAGTCAATGGTCAAAAAATGTTTGTTTGTATCCAAAATATTGAATTGAGATGTTTATTCTTTTTGGTATAATATATTAATATATTTTTTAATATGATTTCATTTGATATTTGTGTCCTCTATTTTGGATTTGATAAAAGTCATTTAAAATTATGTATAATATATAACGCATAATACATAAATGTATTATTTAACTTGGCTTTACTTTTTGGTGTGCAGATGTAGGCAATTAAACTTGTATAAAGTTGAATAAAAAAACACATGAGTCCTACGTGATATCACATACCATGTAGGATACAAATTGTCATGTACGATATGCCTAATATATATACATGTCTTTTAATTTATCTCAACTGGCATATATGTCCTCCAACTTTGAGCGAGTACACGTAGACACTAAAACTTGTATAAAGTTAAACAAATAAACACATGCGTCCTACGTGAAAACTTCAACCTACACAGTGTCCTATGTGTATTATGTCACGTAGGACTTCAATATTTATTTATTCAACTTTATATAAGTTTAACTGTTTATTGTACATACAATTAATCGAAGGGCATAAATATAAAATATAGACAAGTTAAATGACACATTTATGTATTATGTGTTAAATAATAAAATTTAAACCCACTAAATCAAATAGATTGTCAAAAAAATTATAATTTTGAATTACACAGATTACGTGAACTCAGTAACTTTTGTTCGTAAAATGAAAAAGGGGTAACTTGTGAAAAGTACCGAATTAACTAACTTTCAAAATCTCAACACTTCGAAGCCCGCAAAAAGCGTTTAGTCTCTTTCTTCTCCTCCAACTTTCAACAGAATTTTCCACTGTAACTATTTTTTCCCACTTTTTTCCAATTAGTTTATCGAAATCGAAAATCGAAATCGAAATCAAAGCCTTAACTTTAAAAAAAAAAATAAATTAGGTTATGGTTTTGATTTCGTTTCATTTTTTTTCAACTTTGAAACAGAGGATACTCTGTTTATTTTTCGAGGAAATCAAATGGCGTTGGATCGAGATCACGAGCTTGAAGATGGGGTAACCGTAGAGGAGGAATTCGGATCAAGCTGTCAAACGAGTCCACAAGACAAACGAGAAGTGGTACGCAAACTTATTGGTGTGATTCATAACGTTGGATCGTATGAAGAGTATAGGAGATCACAAAGAGAGGAATGTCACATTCTCTCCGAAAGATTGAAGCTTTTATTACCTCTTTTCGAAGAGATTAGAGATTTCGAAGGACAGATACCTGAATCGGGCATCGAATGTTTGATGAGATTGAAAAAAGCATTTTCATCCGCGAAGAAATTGTTAAAAACTTGCCATTGTGGAAGTAAAATTTATCTGGTTAGTAAACCTTTGTTTTTCTATTGATTGATTATATCGTCATTTTGTCTATCGTAGGGTGTTTTTTGTGCTCGAAATATTGCATTAATTTCGTCGTTGTTACTCTTCTTTCTCATGTTTGTTGTGTAATGTTCTTTATTTCGTTGTTGTTATTGCTCCCGTATCATATTCATTTTTCAAACTATTTGACGTGTAAACAACCTCTCTATCTCTACGAGGGCACTTGTGAGATTACACTGGTTATGTTGTTGTTGTTGATTATGTCATCATTATATTTATCTGCACCTGTTGTTTACACCAAACCAGTGATAGTATGACGTGTTTGTTCTTCACACTCTACTGTCACCTAACTATGGTTAATTAATACATTTTTTTCACCGATTTCGAGTTGGTTGAATATGTTTGTTTTACTTACAAATATGCAGGCCATAGAAAGTGAGGCTGTTATGGGAAGATTCTGTTCTGTGTATGAAAGATTAAGTCAAGCTCTGGAAAACATACCTTATGATGATTTAGGAATTTCGGATGAAGAGAAAGAACAGGTACGATTCATTTCATTTATCGTTTTTTCTGGCGTTGCTGTTTGTTCAGCTAAGGGTCTTTCGGAAACAGTCTCTCTACCTTCTCAAAGGTAGGGGTAAGGTCTACGTACATTTTATCCTCCTCAGATCCCACTTGTGAGATTTCACTGTGTTTGTTGTTGATGTTGATCGTTCACCGTTTTCAGGTGGAGTTAGTGAGAGGGCAATTTCGAAGAGCTAAGAAGAGAAATGATAGTCAAGACATGGAACTCACGATGGATTTGATGGTTGCGCTGTCTACAAATGATGATAGGAATGCAGATGGTGCTAGCATAGATAGACTAGGAAACAAGTTAGGTTTGCGTACTCTCGAGGACCTAAAGTTAGAAACAATATCAGTACGAAGAGTAGTTAAAGAAAGAAAAGGTCGTCATGCAGAAGAGACGCAAAAGATAGTAGGTCTTCTAAACAAATTCAGAAGTTTTGCAGGACTCGAAGAAATTGAACCGTTGATGATTAAAGTTCATGAGAAATCCACTTCTTTGGCAATTCCAAATGAGTTCCTCTGTCCGATCACATTAGAGACTATGACCGATCCTGTTACTGTCTCAACCGGCCAGGTGAGTTCACTTCCTCTACGATAAGTTTATTTCTCTTCGAGCTACCATACCTATAACAAAAAGGCGAAGAAAAGATTAAGATATGATAAGAAATTGCTTCTCATGTAGTCATTTTTAGTTGCTATGATGCTTCATGATGATGCATTTTCTTACCTTATATGAAGAATGATCGATTTTCATAGAGTGAAGGGTCAAAAATATACCTAAAGTATTTTGTTTTTTTGAGTTTCACACCTAAACTATTACATGCGTGAGTTTCTTACCTGAAGTATCAGCAAATGTTTATCGAATAACACACCTCAACTATAAGCTGAGGTGTGTTTTGCGATAAATAGGTGATGATAGTCTAGGTAGGAATAGTGAATACATGATAGTTCAGGTATGAAAACTCGAAAAAAAACTGAATACTTGTGGTGGTTTTTGATCATTCACTCGTTCGATTTGCTTTGTATGACTGATTTTCCTTTCCACTTTGCATCTATTTGTAGACATATGAAAGAGAGAACATTCAACATTTGTTGGATTCCGGTTGCCAAACATGTCCGAAAACGGGGGAAATTTTGGAGCACTTGTCATTAGCCCCAAACTTTGCTCTGAAGAATTTGATCCAACAATGGTGTGAAAAGAACAATTTTCAGCTTCCTCGAAAGCAAGAATCTCCAAAACCCGAGAGCCCCTCGGATGAAAGTGATGAACGAGTTTTGTCGTTGATTCAAGATTTATCGTCTAGTCATTTAGAAGTGCAGAGAAAGGCTGTGAAAGAGATCAGGATGCTTTCGAAAGAAAATCCTGAGAATAGGACATTAATAGTGAATCGCGGAGGAATCCCACCACTCGTGCATCTACTATCGTATCCAGATTCTAGAATTCAGGAACATGCTGTGACGGCTCTTTTGAACTTATCGATTGATGAAACAAACAAAAATCTTATATCGAAAGAAGAACCTATTTTAGCTATAATTGAGATATTGCAGAATGGAAATGTTGGTGCTAAAGAGAACTCTGCAGCAGCATTGTTTAGTTTATCTATGCTGGATGAAAACAAAGAAGCTATAGGCTCGTTAAACGGTATCCCACCGTTGATAGAATTGTTGAAAAACGGTACAATAAGAGGTAAGAAGGATGCAATCACTGCATTATTCAACCTTTGTTTAAATGAGCAGAACGTTCGTTTGGCAAACGAAGCTGGGATTGTAGCATCGTTGTTTCAGCTACTCGAGAAGAAAAACTCAGAGATGGTTGACGAGGCGTTGTCTCTATTGTTACTTCTTGCAACACATCAAGACGGAAGGCAAGAAATGGGAAAACTTACGTTCATTGAAACACTCGTTAATCTGATGAGAGATGGGACGCCAAAGAACAAGGAATGTTCAGTGGCGGTCCTACATAGGTTAAGCATACACAATTCAAATCATCTGCTCGCGGCACTTCAGTATGGTGTCTACGAGTATTTAGTAGAGATTGGTGAGAGTGGGACGGATAGAGGACAACGAAAAGCTAAATCTATATTGCAGCATATGAGTAAAACAGAACAGATTCCTTGTCTATAACGCAAGTCGAATTAGCTCTACTTGTATAGTTTAGGATAGTGAATTCTGTTTAGTTTGTAAAGAATATAACTATTTCCATTTCATCTCGTCTTGTCGTCTACTTCGATTATTCATGGTGAATTATCTAAATCGAAATTTGAATCATTACTAGTTTGACAAGAATTTCCAATGTAGTAAATATTTTCACCATGTTCTTACAAAAAAAAGTATTCAAATTAGTACATCTAATCACTAATATATACAAATTAGAATATCTTGCTTTGTTTTACTCATAAGTAGGTGTGTACAGATTACCCGTGGCGGATTCAGGATTACCATTAAGGGAGTACGGAAAAAAGAACGTAGTGGTTTGAACCCCTAAATCACTAAATCAACCTCTAATTTTATATTCAGGAGGTTCAAAATCAATATATAAACATAAAAATTCTTTAAAATACCTTAAATATACAACGTAATTTTTACCGAGGGGTACTCTAGGTCCGATATTGCAGGGGCGGGGCTAGAAGGTTAAGTGCTAATACAACTCAAAGTAGTTGAAGAAGGAATTAGCTTAATTAATTGTATGTTAATTAGGAGAAACAGAAAAAAAAAATCAAAATTAGCAGAAGAGAATGAAGCTTAAATAATCATCTTATACACAACATTGAAAACATTTTTTTGTACTCTTTAATTCATAGGTTTAAGGGATTTCACTAGGAAAACGTGATGCTACTCGTTTGGTGACTGGTTACTGTTATGCAGATATTAGTAACACGTGTACTAATTATATTAGAGGCATAATACATAAACATGAACCTTAACATGGCGTCAATTGCAACTATGACCCTTAACTTTAGATGTGCACAAGTAGACACTTCAACTTGTATAAAATTAAACAAATTGACATATTCATCCTACATGGCACCCTACATGAAAATGTTGTGTCCTACGTGTATCATGTCATGTAGGACATGTGTGTCTACTTGTTCAATTTTATACAAGGTTAAGTGTCTACTTATGCACATCCATATTTAAGGGTCATAGTTATCGACTGACATCAAATTAAAGGTCATATTTATGTATTATGTCTTATATATCTGAACTTACCTCATAACTATACAAAATTAAATATTTGCATAACTTACCTCCAAACCAGCTACCAAACAATCCCTTAATAGAGTTGTTAAGTAAATAAAAAAAAGATTTGTATGAACGAGATATGAAGCAAGTAGAAAAAAGAAATAATATGGAAAATCATGGAGATGAAGAGATATATTATGCAATATTGGTATGTCCATCTATGGAGTTTCCTTATCATGACTTGCCACATGGAACTTGGAAGCAAATTTATAATCATGAAGATAAGTAATTAAGGAAGGAGTTATAATGATATATATCATATATATATATATATATATATAAAAGTTAGAATGAAATATTTAAATTAAGTTTTGTGAATCATCAGTGTAAAGTTTAAATATCTTAAAGTATAGTATTATCTTTTTATGTATCGGTCACTTGCCTTTCACCCATCGCGTTTCATATCGAGTCAACTAAATGCAGAATTAAATTGATAAAATTATCTTTTTTATTTATGATTTTTCAACGATCGAAAAAAATGAACTAGTAATATGGGAGGAGGGAGTACTACACTTTACTACGTAAACTTTAGGAAAGTTTGAAAATTTTATCCTAATTAATGTTTTTAAGAATATGTGATTAAGATAGCAAGTATAATAATAAAGTTTAAGTCTTTCATGATTGCTCTTTTTTCATTAGTTAGTAGTGTTTTCATTATGTTTGAGTTTTTCTTTTCTGATTATGATATTCGAGTCAGTTTCTATCTGTATGCGTCTGAATTAATTGTCTAATTCTATATAAGATAATTCATTTTCTTTACTAATGTAGACATCCGTTGAATAACTTTGTTCACAATTTGGCTAGTTAAGTGTCATTGTCTTTCTAAAGATTTTTTCTTGCACGTAATTTAAAAAAGAAAAAACAAAAAAGAAAAAAGAAAAGAAATTAATTATAAAAGTTACTATTAGTGTATAATTGGGGCATCTTAATGGTTTAGTTCATCTAACTATCTAAATTTTTCACCTTTTCGGTGAGAGTTTGATGTATAATCTCTTTTCTCTAATCCCCAATTTATTTATTTATTTATTTTTTTAAAAAAGATTAGTAATATTTTCGATAGGGCAGAGTTTTAGTTTGAAGCTCCTACATATCTCTTTACCAATTTTATATATATATATATATATATACTATTTTTGTCTTATATGTTAATTTACGTTTATTTAGGTTATCTCTAAAATTGTTATCGTCAATATATTTTTTTCTTCAATACTTACATCATTATAGGTTTTTACTCTTACATTTTTTTTAAACCATATTCCAAAAAATTGAGGGTCTATAAAAAATAATATAGTTATCTCACAAAGATAGGGCATAGTTTGTGTACACTCGATCATTCTCAATCTCTACTTGTAAGATGATACTGATGATAATAATAAGTAGATTTTACCCAAATTAATTTTATAGTGTTAAGAGCTAATTACATCATATCTCTACTCTTTTTTAAATTACAAAAATCCTTTAAATTAGGTCGAATCCCGATACATCCTAAAACGGTCTGATACATTGTGTCCAAGTTTCGGATACATCCTGATAAATCACGTCTCGATTTTCGATACATAACTCAACGTCCCGATACATCACATAAAGTGATATATCCAATCGTTACATCACGTAAAGTGATGTATCTGATTGATATATCGCGTAAAGTAACGTTTCGATATTATCACATTTGTTTCGATACATCTTAAAGTGATGTATTTGACCGATACATTGCGTAAAAGTGATGTATCCGATCGATACATAGCTTAATGTGATATATCCGACTATTACACTATATAAATTAGCGATTTTTGTAATTTTTTCAAATGATAAATTTCTTTTAAAGAATATACTAAATAAGTTGTATATTCAGATTCCCCCCCCCCCCCTTCCCCCCCTCCCCTAATAATTATATTATTATTATTACATACTCAATATATTCTATCATAAATGAAGTTTTAAAAGGAAAAATTTTATACAAACTTAACCTCTAGGTTATTGTATCGTATACCGATTAAAATTATTACTTATTCTAGATTTTGCTGAGGTATTGTATAGCGTAAAAATATATTATTATTTTTTTTTTTTGCAAAAAATCCAATTTTAGCATAGAAACTAAATTGACCATTACCAAAATCCAACTAATTATTCATGATTTGTCATGGTGTTAATTTGTTTGTTTCCTTGGTCCACCATTTTTGAAAATAATGATAAGATTCCAAAAATGTAACATCACTTTCCACTTCATCCTTCCACAAAGTCTCCCTAAAGGTGTGATATCAAGCTCCAATTGATTTAATATGGTCCATTTTACATTAATAACTGTGGTGGAAGAGTAAAAAATCTTAAGTTTTTAGTTATATGTCTTGAATTTGAGTCGTGTAAATAAAAATTCCTTTTATAAAAAGTATTATAACTTTATTTTATATTATACTTTTTATGGTGTAAATTTAAACTGATCAAATTATGAATTTAGGGACTAATTAAAATATGAAATATATGAGTTGGAATCCCATAATTTTTACTTGATTGGACCTTGTATCGTCATAAAAATATTAAAAATATTTAATTATTATAAATCTGAGATAGTAATGGTAAAAATCATAACAAAATTCATACTAAACTTTATATGGTTGCATGTATTCAGAATATTAGATACGCGAGCGAGATATGAGAGTGGCGAGCGAGATCAGAGAGAGGCAAGTGAGAAAAGCAATATTTGTTTATATATTATTTCAATACATATAAATCCACTATATTCAGAACAAATTATCATATATCTCGAGATATATATATATATCAAGACATAACTGAATGCACCATAATATGATAAGATTTATAATATTACAAAGTAATATAAATATTAATCTGACTCTTAAACTAATGAAATTCATATAAGTTATCCTTGTTTATTAGTACTCTCTCCGGCCTCTGGTACATTTTACTCTTAATTCCTTTTTTAACTGCTTTAAAAACAGTGATGTTTTTCGATATTTAAAAATAATCGAATTTTAAAGTTTATATTTTATCTTTATGATATGCTTCGATAAACATAAAAATTTATGTTGTTATAAGTCTCAAAACATTATATTTAATTACATGTTAAATAAAATATTATCACATAAATTACAATAGGTAGATCGCATTAGTAATTCGAAAAAAGAAGAAGAGACTTTACAATAAACAAACCAAATGCATCCACGTTTTGCAAAATTCCCTTGGGAGTTTTGGAAAAGACTCAAATATATTATCGAATTTTGTGAAAAGATTTATTTATGTTAAATCGCTAAAAGTTTGACTTATTTACGTCATTTATGTTTGAGAAAGGTTCATTTATGCCATTATTTATTAACTGAAATGACATAGATGAGCCAATTACTTTTAGTGAATGGTACAACTCAATCTTTTCTCAAAGTTCAATGACACATTTCACTTTTTTTCCTTTTAAGAAAATGATTTTTAACTAATGAAGTGACTGAATTATGATTGGTTACGTGTAAAAATTAGTTTTACAAAATCTAAACTATTTTCAGTTAACAAATAATGATGTGGATGAATTTTTTCTCAAACGAAAATGGCATAAAAGCAATTAAACTTTAAACTGATGACATATATAGATCAACTTTTTCTCAAAGTTCGATAGCATATTTAAAGTTTTTCGACCTCTTTTAACTGACCAACAATAATTTTAAAAGTGAAAAATTCAACAGTTTATATACATATTCAATGTCCGGTCGCCTTCAGGCTATACGAGGCGTAACTATACACTCAATCTTTGAATTTCACGCTTTGAATCCAACAGTATAACCTCGAATAAAGAATATTTATATCGAGCGTGTGAGGATAGAAGGGTGTTGATGAGAATAATCTCACATTTTATAAGATTTAGATAATCTTTCTTTATTTCAGCTAAAAATATTTTAATATGTCAATTAAACTCATAACCTAATTTAATATGACATCAAAGCTAGGATCATTGATCTGATATCCACACCCAAACCATAAATTAGGTTCATAGCCTGGCTTTGATATCTTTTTCTTTGGTTTATTACAATATATTTAATATTTAATATTTATTGATTCGATTAATTTAAAATTTT